TTCATTTGAACACAGAAATAAAATAATATTCATCAATGAGTACGAAATTATTGGACATGTTTCTTTTCTACACATAAATTAATTGAAAACTAATTGAAACGAATATTCTACACGCCACAATTGTACGTTACATTTTTTTAAGTATTGAACGCATTAAATATTGAATACGTATTATTGTACGTGAACGAACTACTATTCTAGGCAAATAATTTTCTTAAAATTGTAAGTAAATTAATTTTATACATAATTTTATTTGCTATAATTGTGCCTTAAAGTTTCTATAGATGATGCTTTTTGTTAATTAAGGCCGAACTCTTGGCTGCAAGGGTGCTCTACCGCGACTGCCTGCGGAAAAATGAGTTACTTGCGTTCATCTTGCTTTTAACAAAAGGGTTATAAATAGATTGAAGCAAAAAAATTCAGAGCTACTCCTCAAAGTGTCTATTTTCTTATAGTTGTTTTGAAAATTTGATATGTGCTTTTGTTTATTCATAAAAAATTGTAACTTTCGTAATTGCGAAACGTGTAACTATTTAATGAACAAATGTTATAAACTTTTGAATATCTAAATATTTTCAAGACAACTTTGTTTATTGATATCCCTAAAATGTGTGCACCAAGTTTGAGGTTTTAATATTAAAAAGAGAAAAATAGGAAAGCGATCCGGTGAAAGGACATCTCGCGGCGGACGCGATTTTTAATAATATTTTTGTTCACGACTTTTAAAAGAGAACCGTTTAATATTATTTTCAATATAACAATCTATGCAGCCCATAATAAGCTTCATTTGCTCAAAGTATCGCAGAATTCTAAAGAAGCGTTCTATAGTTTTTATCAATAGCAAGATGATTTTTTTGCTTCTTATGGAGAAATATATGGGGAACCGTGTCTTAATGTATTCTAGCCAAAAAACAGCATAGAACGCTTCTTTAGAATATCGCATTACTTTCCACAAAGAAAGCTAATTTTGTGCTGCATAGATAATCATATTAACAATACTATCCAATCGGCTCTCTTTTAAAACTTATAAATGAAAATGTTATTAAAAACTGCGCCCGCTGAGAGATGCCGCTCCACCAGATAGCTTCCGTATTTTTCTTTTTTTAATATTAAGACCTCAAATTTGGTATACACATACTAAATTTAGAGATATCAATAAACAAAGCAGTCTTGAAAATATTTAGATATTCAAACGTTTGTAACAAAGTTTTGTTCATTAAATTTACACGTTTGGTAACTTTAAAGGTTATAATTTTTATAAATAAACGAAAAGACATATCACATTTTTGAAACAACTGTTAGAAAATAGATACTCTAAACAGTAGTTTTGAATTTTTTTGTTTAAATTTGTTTATAATCTTGTTAAAAATGAGATAAACGCAAGTATCCCTTTTTCCGCGCGCAACCGCGGTCGAAAACCCCTATAGCCAAGGAAACGTCCTTAATAAAATTAATATTCTATAATATACACGGAATCGAATATAAATGAATAATATTGTACACGGGACTAATTTTTTTCCTACACGTATTATTTTTAACGATCGGCTAAGTTTTTTACACAAACACATACACGCAAACACATCTGTGTTTAAATTAAATATCATTGTATTCAATGAAACAAATAAACAAATTTATGTCAAATAAAATCATGCAGAATCAGTGTGTTTAAAATGGATCTAGCCATATAAAATATTATTTATTAGAAAAGAAAATAATTTCTGCAAAAAATTCGATTATAAAATAATTGAACCTAAATACTCTACATAAACTTTATCTGCACGAATAATTATATATTTAAAAGAACTATATATTTAAAACTGGCCATTATTTTATAATTTATTTAAGAATAATTAAATGTACGATTATGTCATATTAAATATTTTCTACTAAATAGTCGTTTATTAATTTTTCTGTAAAAAATGTAATATCAAATGATATTTAATTTTTAAATGAAAATAATAACTTATTTTTCATGTTCAATGGAAAAGCATTATGTTAAATAAATAAATTTTAAAAATTGGCGTAGAATTAGTATTCAACTATTTTCAATAGAAAAAGCATGAGTAAATATCAAAGTAATACCTTGTTGCGAGTTTTCTTCGTAATATTTAAAATGATTTGATCAAATTCACTGAACCCCAATCTTGTAGAGTTCTGCGGTTATACTATAGAAATCGTCCTACGATAGCGTCCAGACGTTGGGCTTCTATTCAATTACAGGTCAATTTGGACACTGTATATTCTAGTATGAAACCAATGATTTGCACAATAAAAGCCTCGATAATGATCACTAACAATCAGCCTTGATAAAGGGTCACTTTTTCCTTGTGCTAGATATAAAGTAATAACTGAATCTATGTAATAAGAACCAAGCGAATCGTACCAAAAACCTGATGGATGGTAAGAAAATTTAAGTGTCCGCGCGGCTCGACTGTTTACGCGAAACTGAACGATCACGTTGTTTCAGCTGCCAGGTTTCGAGCACTCGTGCAGCATAACTAAGGCGGACGAGTGCGAAAGTTGAAGACGGTCACACCCACACTATAGTCCAGTCAAATAGAAATCTCATGCAAAAAAGAGTGGTGGAAATAGTACCAAAATATTGCCAAGGGCTTTCGACACTTAGGTACACGAATCTGCCATTTTTTTTCTAAACCTGTGGCACGTCCGAGAAAATGGAAAAATTTTTTTTATTTTCCACGTTTTATTCGAAAACGGTAATGTGTATGGCGGAAAAAATATTCCAACATATAGAGTATAAAATTTTACATTGAATATGATGTATTTTACCATCTCGTTGTAGATATCGTTTACAACAGCAAGAAATAAATATTATACAAATCTTGCGAGGCGACGTCACTGCAATTCGACGCGCATTGTTCAAAGTGTATTTTTCTAATTCGCAGCTTGTTTATTTCTGCAATAAAAGTGAGTAAACCATGCGTAGCCATTATTAGTTATTAATTGCGTTAGTGCGTCAATATCGCGCGGCGTGTTGTTGCGGCAGGCATAGCTATAAGTTCATGAACGGAGGTGCACCGATGAAAATTGCCATCAAATTTATTAACAAGCTCGCGTGTAAATCAAAGGCTCCCAATAACTCGAAACGTACAGGTTCCTTGAGTTAAAAAAAAAAATTAGGGAGGGACTAAAATTTCTACTCCCCTCCAAAGAATAAGGCAGACAGTGGGCCGCCACCAATGCCGAATCATGAGACTTGCAAGAGGAGTGGGGTAACAGACTACGCGACTATATATATAGTAAGGCAATAAAAGCTGCTTTCCGAGCTTTTGGGCCTTGAGCGGAGAGAAAAGCCGCAAGAGTGAGGGAAATTTCGGCGGTGGCCGGCCGATGTCTCTCCTGGCCCTCCTGGGGCGAGGTCAGACCCGCGTTAGCTACTAATTAGCTCGGTGACCTTGCGTTGAATACCTTGCGATCTCGTAAATAACAAGTTTTAGATTTATTGCTAATTTGGAACGTTCATAACTTTTAATATAACGAATATTTTTTTTATTTGAAAAATCTTCTTATTCCTTGGAACTCACTGTATAAAGTGATATAATTTTTCTTTAGCATAGATTTCGGTATAATGCATTTATTGCAATTAACAATTAGTCTACATGCTATCGTTTTCAAATAAACCACGGAAAACGAAAAATTATTTCATTTTCTCGAACTTGCCATCGGTTTCAGTTACACTTTTTAAAATCAGACTCCTTTTTAACTAGACTACGTTGAACAATGGAACAGCAGCGTATAAGGATAAATCGACTGCTGATTCGTACAAGTGTATCTGGAACAATGTAACGAGGCAAGGGGTAGCGCTTTCAATGTTGCAGTGAACGCAAGTTTCTTTTAAAAATTATTCCAGCAAATGGAATTGTAACGTGTGTAATTTGACTAAATATACTGGATCTTGTTACATTATATTTTAAACCTATACTAATTTGAAATGATGGAAATCTCTAAGTTTGGTAATATTATTATGTGAGGCTGTTTACATATGAATTCATTACTGTATAAAAATATTTGAAAAATTAAAGTGAATCCATTTTTTTATGTACCAAAGGGCTCTAATATACATCTCAAACAGACAGCAGGTAAGTTTTCGTGATTTTTGAAATATGAAAAACATCGAGTAACATGTTTATTAACAAGTCGAACGTAAAAAACTAGATTGAAAGATAAAGCTGTTATATAGAATTTAACATTTATCAGTCGAGTTTTTAAATCAAATTAGCTTCTGTAAACCAGTAAAATGAAGACTGTCATGCGTGGTGATTCCGTAACTCTTAGACCACACGTTTTCGTCGAATCTTTGGATATCAGTCTATCGTTTATCTGATAGATGCGATAAATTAGATAGTTGATTTACTATTTTTACTTAAGTATACCAACTGGAAGAGAGAAATTGGTACGGCGATATTGTGCAATCCAGTATAACGTAGCGCTTACTTAACGAACTACAAAAATAAACGTAGGTCCGTGGAGTAGCCACACATGATAAGGTATTAAAAGTCAAGTATTTGAGTTATGAAAAAGAGTAATATTTTTTATGCGTTATAGTTAAAGAAAAAGCTATGACTAAAATTTTTATAAAGGTCGTTTATTTAGTGTTATCTGGTTCTAGATTTCCAGAAAAGCAAGTTTATTTGTTAAAACTAGTTATTTGGAAGAAAACAAATTGGTTAATTGTCGAATCGTAGATGATCTTGAAGTGAACATATTTTAGCATAGCGAAGGTTTGTTTATCAAGAGAGAAAATAATTAGAATAAAAGTTTTAACATCGCTAATTTTCGCTATTATTAGTTATGACGAACTAAATGGTAAGCATTTAATGACTGTATAACCGATTAGAAGATTATACCGTTAACATGCAACGAGTTATTTGAAATATTCAAGCTTTTCCTCATAGATTGGATTTGGGCAAATAAAAACACAAATATAATGTCATAAATTATCGATATTTATTTGATTGATCATCACAGAGCGTTGCTAAGAAAAATAATTGACAGAGATTTCATGAAAAATTGTAAAACTATACATCTCATGTATACATATTAAAGTACATATCGACCGTTGAAACTTGTCAACTGGGACTTATATACTTGCATGACATACTATATCACATAAGCATATTAAGCTATCTATCTAAGTCAATCACACATAATTGACCTTAAAGAACTACAAAGAAATTAAGCAAGACTTGTAAATATTTGTTGCCTGAGAGAAAATCAATGCTATGTAGAAAGTTTCAGGACCGAAAATGGAAATAAAATAGATTCATCAAAAATTAAATAGTTAAACATCTGGGAACTAACAATCTTGCGATGTATTTTCAATTTCTAGAAACTTAATATTTAATTTTATTTTCATATGAAACAGTTCATTAACAATGATATATTATAGAGTAAAATATATAGATACAGACAAATTCAAAATTGAACATCGTTCTACGAATTCTAATTGGGGGTTGGATTATATACAATAATATTTAATAATACATTTATGGTAAAGTCTAGTTTTTGACATTCTGTTAATTAGTATTTTTTTCATTCTATTTTTTATTTATTATTTTTACGTTTCTTCCGCGGCGTTGATATATTCAACATTTATTTTGTCACTACCCTACGTAATTGTATACAAACATTGACTAAATTAAAAAAATATATTTAAACAACGAAATATAACTATTTTTAAATTTCAGCGAACGCCAGTATTTTGAAGTTAACTTCTGACTGCTTGATTACTTTCAACAAAATTTTCCATTTTTAAAAATACTACTAACTGTAATTTATTTAGAAATATATATCAATTTATCATGGTTTAATCAATTAAAATTTCAAAAAACACTAACATTAATAAATTAATTCAGCAGCTTCGATTGTTGCTATCATGTTAATTATTTCTACGTTGGAAAAAATTGTTTCGATACAAACAATAGGAAAATCTACGTCTATAAGTTGACGTAATGCCATCTGAGTTACTTCTAGCAATATTTTTCTAATATCAGCTTCTCGATAGCGAGCCAATATTAGTTCATAGTAAATTGGAAATTTTGACATTATTTCAGAAAGGTTCAAATAATCAGTATACAAACGTCTTCTCTTAAACTTCATATGAAGTAAATCGTATAGTGTAACATCGTCGTTGATAAAATATTTCTTCAAATTTTCAACTTCCTGACGGTACTCATTACTTTGTGATCTAAGATCCGCAATCAATCCTAACAATCCATGCGATGTTTTAGTACGGTAATCATCTGAAAATGGTTTCACAGTCGACATTACAGGACAAGTATCGAATGGTGCAAAACCGTCATTCCTTGGGTAGCCAAAAATAAGTTTAACAAACACGTCATAATCATTAATGTCGAAACCAACCGCTAAAAGGCACTTTAAGTTGTACATAAAATTATGTGTAATGTTATTATTGACAGTCATGCAATCATTTTGATTACCCGCGTTCACAAGAGCACACAGCGACAAAAGTGCTTTCTTGACTTCTGCGTTCTGTAATCGATCTATTGCCACAAGTAGTGGCGTTTTCTCCAAATCTTGAAATTTGTTGTTGATATCCTGAACACTATTCTCTACGACGATGTACAAAAGTGTGTACAAACATCTCTTTCCGTTACAATGCAATTTAGCACCACGACTCGCCAGTAACAGCAAAACTTCCTTACAATTCGATTCCAGAACGGAATGCACAAGACTCCTACCATCCAGAGTAATAGTATTTTCAATAGCTCCTGCATTGATTAGAATTTCAACGACATTTTTGTAATTTTTACTCGAAGCTAAAGGTGTAAATCCCAAAAGATTTGCTTGCTCGTTAAGTGGCCCATGAATCTCTCCGCAATTAGATTCGACCGTTAGATGCAAAGGATTTTTACCGTTTTTGGTCAGAGCATTCACATCAGCTCCAGCGTTCATCAAAAGTTCAGCTACGGCCTTATAACTATTATAAGCGGCCAAATGCAAAGGTGTGAATTCTGAGACCAATGATTTGCAATTGACATCCACTCCGATTTCCAGCAACATCTTTACAAGATTGATGTTGTTTGCTTCTACTGCCATATAGACCAAATTCTCACCGAGTTTTGTCATCACATTAACATCAGCACCATTATCAATCAGCAAATTTACAACAGCTTCGTAATCTTCATCGGTCGGTGCATGTTCGCAAGTTAGTAATTTCACAATTAAATTGTCCTTTTTACTGCGTATTACAGCTTTCGTTCCTCTGAGATCATGTAAAAGTTGATCTAAGTCGTAGCATCGCCTAATTGCCAAATGCAAAGGAGTCAAGTCATTCTTGTCGCGTGCATTGACGTCTGCGCCGTGATCAATCAGAATTTTCGTAAATGCCAAGTTACCCAACACCGAGGACAAATGTAAAGGAGTTGAGCCATCTACACCCGAGCTATTCACGTTAGCTCCTCCGTCGATCAACAATTTAACTAAGTCGTCGCGTTGTTGATACACGGCTACATGCAAAGGCGTAAATTGCAGGATCGCATCTGGGTAACCGAGGTTGGAGCCATATTTAATTAAACGTTCGACTACTTCCGCAGTACCCTCGAGCAAAGCTAAATGTAGCGGAGTCAATTTATCGATGTCCTCAGAATTTACATTTGCGGCAGATTGTACAAGGATATTCAATTTGTTTGGATTTCTTCTTTTAGCAGCCAAGTGTAACGGTGTGAATTGTCGTTCTTTAGTACGGCAATGGACATCAGCACCGGCTTCTATTAGCTTTATAACAGTTTTGCCACTACACCATTGTACTGCATAATGCAGCGCTGAGAAACCTTCGTAATCCACAGCATTAACGTCACAAGCGTCACTCATCAGAAAATCTATAATATCCATTTCGGCTGGAGTGCCACGTAATTTGAACATATGTTTGCAAGCGAGTAGTAGGGCTGACTCGCCATCGCCATTACGCAAACCTAACTCAGCTCCGTTTCGCTTCAAAACTCTCAATACCTCGATGTGACAATGCTTAGCTGCGAGATGGACAGAGGTCGATCCACGTCTGTTCCGTTTGTTAACGTCTGCTCCTTTGGATATTACAATGCGTAATAAGTCAATGCGCTTTTGCTTGTGTTCTTCGTCGCTCTCGGCGTCGCTGTCAACCAATTGGTGGAGAACTGTGTTTCCTTGATCATCGCATGCTTCGATGTCGTTGCAATAAGGTAACATGTATTCGAACAAGTCAAGGATTCGTCTTCTCGCTGCAATGTGAACCGGCGTCTCGCCGACTATGTTGACCGCGTTTATCCACGCGGTGTCGGATTTTTTGTCCATTAGATCTATGATTTCGATTTCGCGGACGAATTCGTTTAAATAAAATTTGTTGTTGTAGGCCATTGTTGCGCTCAATTCTATGTTTAAAATGAATTCATGTACACTCTTCATTTAATTATATGCTCATGATTTGCAGTCAATTCATCAATTGAATCTCATTATTTATGTAATTTAGTTGGTTTTGCGTCGCTGATTTACCATTCAATTATTTTAGTAACCTAATTAATTATTTTTAGTTTTGAACATTTTATTGAACTCTAAAAAATGTAACATAAATGTAAATGAACAATCTGATTTATTAATTATTCGAGATAAATGTAGAGAAACTTACTTTGATTGCTATTGATAGTTCTAAAACCAATCTGTATCCAATGCCTTCATTGAGTAGAAGAATTTTGATAGAACTTTTTCATCTTGTTAATTTATTCTGAAATGTAATACAGTATTATGGTTATGGTTATTTTGTTCTCAATATTTTGTTTTAATTGATAGTAATTTAAAATCTCGTCTTTGTAAAGGCAGTTAATAATAATAAAAAGATTCACAGAAAAATTTGCGGGCAGTTTATGAAAAGTCAGATTTATTTTGATATGTTCCGCAAATTTGTTGCAAGATTTCTATTGGGTTATTGGCTTGGGTTATTGGATTGGGTTCGGGTTCGGGTTATAGACAAATTGATCAGAAAAGTGAAAATTATTGAAATTACCAAAAATTTACGAAAAATTTGAAAAATCATGAAATTTCGTCAAATCGACGTAAAATTGTGAAAAATCATGAAATTTCAATAAATTTACGAAAAATTTGGAAAATCATGAATTGTTGTCAAATTGACGTAAAATTGTGAAAAATCATGACATTTCGTCAAATTGACGAAAAAAATGAAAAATCTTGACATTTTGTCAAATTGACAAAAAATGTGAAAAATCTTGAAAGTTTGAGAAATTGGGTCTTTGGGTTGGGTTGTAGGCTTATTGGGTCATTGGGTTATAGAGAAATTGACCAGAAAAGAGAAAAATCTTAAAATTTCATCAAATTGACGTAAAATTTGAAAAACCAGGAAATTTCGTCAAATTGACGTAAAATGTGAAAAATCTTGAAATTTCAAAAAATTCACGAAGAAAGTGAAAAATCTTGAAATTTCGATAATGCGAAACATCTGTTTCACCCAGATGTTCGCAGATTCCAGAGAATTCTGTGGTATCAGCAGGGACAGATTAGGAGCTTTCAGCTGAACACCGTCACTTTCGATACTGCAGCTGCTCCTTTCCTGGCCATCCGTATCATCCAGCAATTTGCTCGAGATGAGGTTTCCGTTCCGACGAGCGAGTAAACTCCGGAGCCGATTCTCTTCGAGAGATCATTGAGATTCGCGACGAAATGATCTCGGTGCTTCTCCGTGGTGGCTTTGTCATTCGGAAATGGGCGTCGAATCATCCTGACGCTCTCTTTGTTGTTTGGAATTGCTAAAATGACCTATTATAGTACAATAAATCTCAAGTCGACCCAGAAGTCACGTCAACTAAAAGAAAATTGTTATCTCAGTTGTTTAAAATCTTTGATCCTCTTGGACTTCTAAGCCCAGTGACTCTTTACATCAAGGTCTTTGTTCAAGATTGTTGGAAGGTAGAAGTTACTTGGGAAGAGTAACTTCCCTTCCTCGAGAGGTCCATACTAAGTGGAAACTTTTGTCTACTCAACTTCCACCGTTGGCTGATTTCTCGTTTCCTCGACATCTCCTTGTCCTCCCCATGCTGTCCAAATCTATTTACATGGCTTTTGTGATGCTTGTGTTCAAGAATACGGCGCTTGTATTTTCTTAAGGTCAATCGACTCAACGGGACAGATCCCGAGGAGGTTGATCTGCAGCAAATATCGCGTTGTACCGCTGAAGGGAGTCACTGTTCCTCGACTCAAATTGTGTGCTGCTTTCGTTTTAAAACAACTCCGTACAGAGGTAAAAGGCCAATTGGACTTTATAATCACCAAAGTAATCTTATCTTTTGAGTTCCTGTGAATCCAATAGGGTAATATATTGTCCAATATTGTCCCTTTGAGACAACTCAACAAAAGTCTACGGTGATCTCTATTGCGGTGGGCCCACAAACTTCAAGCGTATGTGTGCATGTTTTGTGTTGTGCGACAGCGTTCAGTTTTCTTGTTAAGCGAGGCAATTAAGCGGACCTTTTCGCCAACAGTATCAATACCAAACCAGGATTCTATAAAAAAGATATATTATTCGCAGTTGTTGCTATCTAAGATAAGAAATAATTTATTGAGTAAATCAGATCATGTTTATAACCTAATACCTTCAGAAAAGGTTGAAGATAAGTCAATAGTAATAAGTAAAACCAATAACCCAATAATCTAAAAATATATGTTATGATATAATCAAATATGGAACAACATTAAAATTCGAGTAAATTTTATATAATTATTCTATTCAGATACAAAATTTCGATATATTTTAATCAAGCAAAAGGCTCGGCAAGAATGCAAGTTATATAAAATTTATATAAATTATTGGTGACTAGCATTTAACGTATAAGTTACATTATACCATTATTTTCATTTTATCACTTTTTCCAAAACTCTATATATTCCAATATTGTAATATTTGTAATTATGATAATATATTTAATAAATAAATATACTTTTGAAACTATGACAATTAAATATGAAAGCTATTTTCAACGACAGTTTTTAGCATTCGTACTATTTTCAGATAAATTTTTTCATTACTACTTTCAAAACTCTATAATCAATAACATCCTTTTTTGTAATGATTGCGAACAGTAGATTATTTATTTGAATGTAGTTTGCTATGTTTAAGTTAACTTACTATTTAATAAGTTATGTAAATCATCTGAAAGTAATTTATAGCATTTGTACCGTCTTTAGATAGATTTCACTACTTTCAAAACTTTAAAAACAATATTTAAGCAATTTCGATACAAATAGTTATTTAAAAAAATAAATTAACGCATTTAAAAATAAAGTAATGCAACATTTTACTTTATAGAAATTTGTTTATGGTATTGAAATAGGATCGTTAAAAAATAATATATTTCAAAGATTAATATATTGTAATTGAGACTATACTATTAAAAAATTTATTTAAGTTATTTAATTACTTAATTTATTTAATTTATAGTAAGCATTCATGCAACTTTTTACTTTGTCAAAAGTGTTTTTATGGAGATACCTTACACTATACAGAGTTTTAAAATTTGCAAATCAATGGAAAATAATTCACATCTGCGAATACAAATTGAAGGACGCATGAATTTAATGAACGTAAAAAACATTTTTGAAGCAGGAAAATGCACGAGGACATCAGATATTTAAATATAACAAAAACCGTTGATTTATTTATTTGAAACTCTTCATGTGTATGTTGTTATGCCGCTGCAAAAGTACAATTAAAAATTTCTAATATTTAAAGATACAAGATTCAATTTACACGTCATGTAAAGAGAAATTTCGCTCAACTCTTTCTTTCGCAATTACCCCTGAATTTTCATTTATTCGACTGAAAAGAAAATGTAAATAAACGGCTTAATCATTTTCATAAAAAATGAAGCTATGTACTATTAAAATATTCCTCTAGGAATGTAGGACAATAAGAAATGCAATATACTTACGGAATGTGGAGAATCGACTTTTGGCTTGAACTTCGCCTTCAATGTCGCCTCGTTGGCGTCGGTTGCAGACTGCGGGCGACAAGGCAACGAAGCAGCGTGGTGCCACAACTAAATCAGAGCAAGAGCTAGTTCCTAAAGAAATATATAGTTTTCCTATGTAGGTATATACTTGCGCTGTTGCCGAATTTGGCATTCGATCCAGTTGCGCCAAGCGCGAATCTCAAAATTGCCCTTCCACATTGTGTTTTGGAATTGGCAGCTTTCTGTGACTGTTTTGAATATTTATAATTTATTTTTGAAATCGCCTAGGTGTGCTATTACTTTTATCACACACTTTGGTAAGAGTAGATGCTTTCTCGATTTTTTTATTTCTCTCAGCATCCGTGTTTGGAACCAATAAAAGTTATGCTATTACATTATTGATCATACCTTTACATCAATTTCTATGATAGTTATAAGTAAAATATGAACATAAATACTATATTTGTTTACTTTTTTTTTTTTTTATAAAACCTTAAAAATACACATATCTATTTTTGCACTTATTACATTATTTATATTACTAGTCAATCATTTCGGCATTCTTCAATTGTCGCTTCATATTTATTACACTTAAGACAGTTATTCACGTAAATTATCGGTAGCTGCTCTATGTCGATAAATTTAAAAAACATCAACTGAACTATTTCTATAGCAGTGTTTTCTTCATTAGATCTTTGCGACAACAATCTAATTTAAATTTACAATATTATATATAGTTTATAACAAGAGGCAATTTTGCAGCATTTAATATGAACAGATGATCGTAATATCGAGGTTTCTATTTCAAAGTTTATGAGCATACATTCATTTTCATTGGAAGTGTCAACAATGAGACACACGTACATAACTGCTTTTTTTTATCTTAGTTATCACCCGGAGAAGTGGTGTCTCTTCCAAAATCAAGTTCGCCAAAAACATTTTTATAGTTATTAAATTAACGGATACATGTAGTGGAGTTCGTCAATTTCCGGAGATTCCACGTCTGCACCTGTCTATTACATTCTTCACCATAATGAAATTGTGTTGTTTTTTAACGGGGAAATTCAATGCTGTCTTTCTTTATTATTAATGTCTTCATTTATTATTCTGAAATTACAGTTCTGTAAATATTTTTTGTAAATATTTTTCTGGTCATTAACAGAGATCGTTTTGCACAAATACTTTCGTTATTCATTCGTTGAAACACTTATTGTTGCTACATAAGTATGTACTTGAATAAATATTTGGGTAGAAACTTTAAAATAATTATCATAAATGAAAAGTATAAATAAAACTTTGAATATCGAATAAATCGATAGAAAAAAATTAGTTCTGAAAATTGTTACGATATTTTTAAAGTGTAATTAGATTTACCTGTTGACGATTAATCGAT